GATATGCACATATATATTTACTACAAAAATGTCCAATTGTTCCTTGATTATTTAATTATTTAATAAAAAAATATTTTCCCTATTGAATTATAATTGTTTCTTGGATAAATCAAGTGACCGCATATGTGTAGGTTTGCATTTGGATTCCGTATTTTGTTTCATTTGCCTATTAATTAGTTCATTCACCTAAATATTAACATTCTTATAACTTTGGAGGATGGGTTTTCTTCTTTTTAATTTTTCTTATCAATATTGTTTTTTCTGGGTTGTTTATTGTTCATCAATTTTCAGACTTACCTTTTAATTTCCACAAAATTTTAGCTACAATTTGGTCCCATTACCTCTTTGACTAAAATGTATTTAACTTGTGGATCAATTTTAAGAAAATTGATAGGAATTTGAGTTTCTGTTCCATAAACTTAGAATACATCTCCATTAATTTAGGCCATCTTCAACTTCTCTAGAATAATTTTAATTCTTAATGTAGTAGTAATCTTAGTCTATCTTAGTCAGAATTATTCCCATGTATAAAGTTTACATACTATTTAAAGTATTTTTAGAATTTTATATTTTAAGTAATCGGATGGTAATCGGGATGGGTGTGTCAGAGGCAATGCGATTAGCACAGGATAAAGCAGGGTTTAGGGCTGTTGTACATAGGGTCGCTATGAGTCGCAAACGACTCAACGGTACATAACAGCAACAACAACAACAACATTTTTAAAGTGTTTCAAATGCATACACCTACTGCTGTTGAATCAATCTCGTAGCTGTTGTTCAGTTCCATAGTATGCCTCCACTGGGTTTCAGAGTACTAGAGAATGTTGCTCAACTTTTTCCTGTGGAGCTGCTGGTGGATTAGAACTACTGACTTTTTAGTTATCAGTCTGATGCAATACATTGCACACCACACCACTAAGATTCTTTTTCTAATGCTTATGACTTTGTAGTCAATGAGCTTGCTAAATTTACTTATTTCTCATAATTTAATAATTCTCTTATTTCTACATCTTCACTCATGTCTGCACATAAAGACAGGTTTATTGTGCAATCTTTTTTTCTGATTTTGTCCTATTTCATATTTTTAGGTTTGCAGCCTTATAGGCTTTCCTATATTTGACATACACATTCAAGGAAAGAAATGAGAAAATTACCACAAGCTTCTCACTTTGACCTGCTCCCCGGTCTTCCTCATCACTATAGTCAGTTTTTGAACCCTTAACATAAGGTAAGTTCAGTGTCCATCACTTCAGATACTCATACAATGATTTTAAAAATTTGATAACTATGAAATATTATTATCCTATTTCTTAGATGAGAGAAGTTGATAAGTAAATTTAGAAAAGAAGACATTTCTGAGATAAAAAAAATGCTGCAGGCAGCATAAAATGAGATTTAAAAAAGAAAATCTTACCTGAGTTAATTGGGTAACATTTCTCAAATGTTATTGTTTATTTAGGATTCTCACAAAGTATTTATTTCAAAAATATCTTCATCCTCAAAGATTCTCATTCATTAGGTCTGGAAGGAGACAGGAGTCTGGTTTTTTAATGAGTTCCCTGAGGTTTTGGATAAGTCAATTATGGAAATCTTTTGAAAAACACCTTTTCAGGAGAATGGCTGATACAGATCTACAAGTCATTGTGTGTTAACTTAGACCAGAGTTGTCTTGGGGGAAGAAACCTACCCTGGGAGAACTTAAGGTGGGTAATGACTTACTTTTTATATGACTATGTTTTATTCTGATTACTTAGAAGAGATCTTACTCTGATAATTTAACGTGCTAGAAAAACAGCTGAGAGTGGTAGAGAGGAAAAGAAGAAGCAGTTGGTTCCAAGCAATGAACAGACCCTTTGCCCTCTGAGAAAATGTAGTTATGATAATGACAATAGACTAGCTTAAACCACTGCTCTCTCCACAACTATGATTCTGACTCCTAGAGATCCCCCCTGGGCTTTGAGGCTGCAAATCTTTATCTGGAGGAGAATGCCTATGTTG